AAAAAAGTATACTCTAAGGCATAGGGAAAATGTTGAGAAATAATTTTTCTCTATTCTTATTTGGACAACACACAAATAAATGATGCAAATGATTAAAAAAGCTCTTTTTTTCCTCATGTCTAATGAAGATTAACATCAGATAATTTTCCCCTTTAACTAAGTCACGTCACTCTTAAGTACAAATTTAATACTTTTCCTACTTTTATTTCTTGTAAGTAACAAGCACAGATTAAATAAACTTGGAAAATAAAGTACTTAAAGAAGATAAAAATCAGCAACCATTTCCATTAGAAACAATACTGTTATTTAAGAACATTTTTTTTATAATTTTCTATGCATACATTTAAGAACAAGTGTGATATTACTTTAATACATGATTTTTTATTTGTATTTTCTTACATCATTAACTATTTTTCAAAGTACATAAGCACAAAGTTAACATGCTTATAAATGATCAATACTTTATTTTAGTAGTTAAAAAATATAAGGGCCAGTATGTAGCTCAGTGGAAGTGTACTTGCCTAGGTGTAGCCTAGGACTGAAACAAACAAAACAAGAAAAAAGCAGTTTTGAAAACTGATTTTTCCCCTAAATAATAATTTGGTATATTTTTATTTCTTCTCTTTTAATTTTGTTTCTGTTGATAAAACTGATTACAATAAGTATTTTCAAACCATGGTAAAACTAATTATCATATTTTTAAAGCATGATAAATATTTCAGGAATTCTTATTTACACTGTTTTATAACTCTATCAACAATAAGCCAGTGAAGGAGTAAATCTAAATAATTTGTTCTGCAAAGCACCCCCTGGCTTCTTAACTATACAGACAATTTTCTGTACTGGTAATTTTTTTAATTCTATTTTACTCTTGTACTTTGAATGATACATATATAGTTGTTGTTTTGAGACAGGGTCTCACTATGTAGTTGAGACTGACCTGGAACTCACTATGTAGTCCAGGCTGGTCTTGAACTCACAGTGATCCTCCTACTTCAGCTGCCCAAGTGCTGGGATTACAGGGGTGAGAAACCAGGCCCACCTGATAATTTTATTATATAGGGATTTACAGGTTTTACACACTTAAACCTTACACTGTTTTGGGGTGGGCACTCTTAACCTCTCAATTTACATTTCAGATAAATGAAACACAGGAGATTGCATTTTATTTAGTTTAAGAATTATCTTTTTATTATAGACAGTACTGAGTTTTATCTTTTTAGTTTTCCAGCTTTAATTGAGTTTACTGGTACATTTTAGGTATACAGTACAGTTACATTCATTGTTGGGATCTTGTACCTCTACATGACAGGTCTTGGTTCTCATTTTTTCCCCTAACAGTATTGAGTTTTATGTGCTTGCAATATTTTTCTGTATCGTTCCAATTTTTTAGTATATGTGCTGCTGAAGCGAGCACTGCTTGTAATATTTTTAATAAAATTCACAATAACAGAATATTTTGGGAGATAGGTTGAATATAATTGCATATTTGTATTTAAAATTTAAGAAGTGAATATGTTTTTGGTTAAAGTGTGACACCTACATCTGTTTTTCTTCCTCCTAAAACACCAATAAAAGGATCATTTTTATTTTAAGTAGCATAAATCCACAGGTATAACAAAGAACTGGGAGAGGCGCATGCCTGTAATCCCAGCACTCGTGAGGCTGAGGGAGGAGGATCACTGTGAGTTCGAGACCAGCCTGGGCTACATAGTGAGTTCCAGGTCAGTCTCAACTACATAGTGAGACCCTGTCTCAAAACAACAACAGCAACAAAACCAAAACAAGAAAAAAGTGAAAGCTATAGCCCAGTCACTGCCTTCCCCTTGAGCCCCCTGCTTCCTGGCGACCCGCCCTCCCCTTCTCCCGCAGCCGACTTCCGCAGGCCATTTCCGAGAAAAAGGAATCGTATTTTAAGTCCGCTATCCAGAACCTCCACTCTTCCGACCCCTTTGCTGATGCAAGTAAGGGTGATGACCTGCTTCCGGCCGGCACTGAGGATTATATCTATATAAGAATCCAACAGAGGAACGGCAGGAAGACCCTCACCACTGTCCAAGGGGTCGCTGATGATTACAATAAAAAACTGGTGAAGGCGTTTAAGAAGAACTTTGCCTGCAATGGTACTGTAATCGAGCATCCAGAACATGGAGAAATAATCCAGCTCCAGGGCGACCAGCGCAAGAACATATGTCAGTTCCTGGTAGAGACTGGACTGGCCAAGGACGATCAGCTGAAGGTTCATGGGTTTTAAGCGCTTGTGGCTCATTGAAGCTTAAGTGAGGATTTTTTCCAACGAGTAGACTATCCCCTCTGTTCCCTGTCACAAGTTTAAAAACCTCACGGCTTGTATAATGTAACCATTTGGGGCCCGTTTTCACTTGGACTAGTGTAACTCTTTCATGCAATAAACTGAAGAGCCATGCTGTCTACTCTGGAATCCCTCATTTAAACAGAGCTCACGTAGTACGTGCCCGGCAGTGTGCAACCTGAAACACTGTACCGTGATGTTGCAGCAGGGCCCCAAGACCGCAGGCAGCTGTGTCTGGCCAGGAGCTCTCTGAGCTCTCTAGGCACAGTCCCTGGCTTTAGAAGGTCCCCACCCCAGCCGCCCAGGGACCCGAGAGCAAGGGGGAGAGGCAGTGGTGCGGCTCCACCACTAGAGGGAGCGGTTGGCGGCAAAGAGCCCTACCCAGCAAGGTCGTGACCCCTAGCTGGCTCCCGGGGGGCCTGGGGATCAGATGGCATAGCTAAAGACACCAAACCCAGCGCTCAAGGCCAGCCCAGTGCAGTTAAACTTCTGACAAGGGGACAAACCCACCTGGAGACAGCTTGCACCTCACACGCAGCAGCTTCCCAATGCCATGTGAAGTAACTGGTTTTGATGTTATGTAATGTATTTAAACCCTTATTTAAATAAAACTTGTTTTCAGAAGTAAAAAAAAATTTTGAAAGCTATAAGGAAAGATGAGAGGCAAGTGACCTAACAGCCACAAGCAAAGTGAAGCCTAAAGAGGAAGTAGGGAAAATTGAAAGCCAATCAGATTTACACTGCAGAATTTCCCGAAGTCCGAGGATTTGGGGCATCAACAATCTGGAAGTGGAGGGTGAGGTGGGGGAAGAGTGGCTAAAATAAGAGTGATTAATTGAAAACCTCTTTAACAAATATTTAGAACTACGGGTGTAAGTCAGGAGTAGAGCATGCGCTTAACATGCACAAGGCCCTGGTTCAGTCCTCACAATCAAAAACAAACCCCAAAAACCAAAACAACAAAACCCCTTAAATACTCAGATCTCCAGATTCCCTTCCCATCTTGAGTGGTATTAGAAGTATCCTAATCCTATTAAAGGAAAAGACTGGAGATTGAATCTTTAAAGACACAGATGGAGGGAGTGATAATATCTTTAAAGATTAGTTATATATAGGTAGATTCTCAAGCTGCTTTTTAACATTCAGTTTCCATAACACTGGCAGCCAGGCCTTTATCTGACATGAAGACTAGAAGAGTTTTTTCTAAGTTATCTCACCAGCCAAGGAAGAAAGACTCTAAGGCATCAATATTGGAAGTTTGCAACTAAATAGTACATTTAGATTGTAGTCGAGATCTAGATGTTTACTTGGGTCCAAGCTACAGATAACAAGAGGCAGATGAATCTTCATTAACCTAATTAACCCAAATTGTTTGTATGGCAGACTGGTTGTAACTTGAGGTTCTAGCATTAAGTGTATAGAAAACTATTCAAATAAAACAAAGTAATTATTAGATACATGAAAGTAGGGAAAGCAGGGAAGAAAAAGTAAGCAAGCAGTTTACTACATGTTTCAGCTGTATATACTGTTGTCATGGTTTATATCTAGACATCCAGCCAAAGCCTCATGTGGTCATAAGAGGTGGCTAGATGAAGGTGTGTGATGCTGGGATTAAGAATGTGATTTTGGGCTAGGGATTTAGCACACTGGCACCATGCCTGCCTTGCAAGTGCAAGGTCCTGAGTTCAAACCCCAATACCTCCTCTGACCCCCAAAGAATGTGATGCTGGAGGTAAGGGTGCTCCACCCTGGGTGTGCAGATAGGCTGGAAGAGATAAAAGGGACAGAAAGGGAGGCCTGCTGCTATTGCTTCTGCTTCTTCATTACTTTGCTGTTTTGCTGCCCTCTGCCTGCCATGAACTATTTCTCCTCTGTGATACCCCTCTTCCACGGCACCCTGCCCCTGAAACAGCCAACTATGAATGGAAACCTCTACAAACTGAGCTACAATATATCTTTTCTCCTTTAACTTTGTGTGTCAGGTGTTTTGTCTCAGCAATGAGAAAAGTAATTAAGACAAATCCCTACAGTAGTAATAATATAATCCTTCAATAAATTCCCTCTCACCCATCTTCCTTTATTTATTCCTTTTCTTCTGCCCCTCTTTCTTCTCATTTCTCTCTCTCTTTGTAGATTCTTTCTGGAAAACCTTATATTTTCGCTACTTTTGTCAGAAAAAAATTAACTAGAATATTAACAGATGGAATAAAAATGTTGAAAAATAATATCATGAGCAAATAAAGCTTAAAAAGCACGAGTGTTCCAGTATTATAAAAATCTCTGAGAATAATAATAAAGTTATGGAGAAGACTGGTAAATTGATCTTCCTGGACTCTGAAAAGACATTTGACAAAAAACTTTAAGTAGTATTTATGAGACTTGAAAGGATTATAACTTAGAGGAGTTTCTCCTTTGCCAAAAAATAAAAATTAACCACATTTTTAACATTAAATACTTAAGCTATAAAATGAAATCTGCTAAAATGTAATTTATATAAGGTATAAGAACATGAGATACTTCTATAATGGGAGCAATTATTTTTGAAAGGCCAATGCCTAAGGTTAAGAACTATTATGTTTTTATGATTTCCAAGTTTATGCTTTATATATTGCAAACACTTACTATATATAATTGCTCCAATGGTGAGGTACTATAAGAGCTGTTTGAAATAATTTTTTTTGTATGATTAAACCTGTAGCTACCTGTTAATAAAACAATATTATACAAGAACAATCTCAGGTGGTATTTTTCTAGCCAAGTACAAAGCTGCATCTGTATCATTTGAGTGAACAGAATGTGCATGCGTGTATGTGTGCAAGTGTGCCTGAGGTACCAGGCAAACACTGGTAACAACAAGCTGAATCTCTAGCCTCATTCTTTTTTTAATCTATGAAAACTCATTTGGAGAACCATTCATTTCAGTCCACAAATTCTCTTACCTGTCAACATGTTTGCAGTATTATTTTTCTTTACCTGCTGCCACCACAGAACTTAGTAATGGTTTATCTTTTCTTTTTTTTTTTTTTGGTACCGGGGATTGAACTCTGGTCATTGTGTTTGTGAGGCAGGTGGCAGAACCACTGAGCTAAATCCCCGGCCCTGTAATGGTTTATCTTTAACATTTCTTAAGTCAGGCAGTAAGATAGCTTATATTAGGGGAAGGAATCATACATTTCAACTTTGTCACCTGGGTGGGTAATGCTTTAATTTGTGTAATATTGTGTTAAAATTCATAAGCGGAGGAGAAAAGGAAATAACATCAGAGGAGCTTTGGTAAAGATCAGAGGAAATGCAGCTGTAGCCTTCCCATTCATCAGTTTTGCCCTCTGTACAGAGTACTACTATAATTTATAAGGATGGTTCTCTCAGAAATTCAGGACAGTCAGCAAAAGCTATGAGACTGACTTTTCTTTTTTTTTTTTTCCCCTCATTTAGTTTATTGGTACATTTTAGTTATACAGTACAGTTACATTCATTATTAGGATCTTGTACCTTTACATGACAGGTCTTGGTTCTCATTTTTTCCCCTTGTCATTTCATTTTCATATATTTTTCTTTTCCCTTATTACCTTTCCCCTACCCTTCTGGCTTTCCCTACACATTTAGCCCTTTTCTTCCTATTTCACATTGTCAATTATCTCATTAGGATCTTATGTACTATTATAGTTTTTCACATCAGATAAATTATTTAGTATTTACATATGTGTGACTTATTTATTTCACTTAGGAGTATATCCTCAATATGTATCCATTTTCCTATGAATGAATCTAATTTCTCATTCTTTATGATTGAGTAGTATTCCATTTTATAGAAAAACCACATCTTCTTTATCCAGTTGCCCATTTGATGGGCAAATGTGCTGTTTCCAAGTTTTAGCTATTACAAACTGTGCTGCTATAAACATAGGTGTGCATATATCTCTGTGATATGATTCTTTTAATTCTTTTGGAAAGATACCCAGCAGAGGGAATGGTTGGGTCAAATGAAACTCTAGTTCCAGCACTTTGAGGTATCTCCATGTTGATTTCCATAAGGGATGCACCAGTCTGTACTCCCACCAACAGTGGAGAAGGGTTCCTTTCTCCCTACAAACTCAACATTGAGACTGACTTTTCTTTAAGAAATTGTGTATCTCTAGAAAATTCCTGAAGGTGTTATCGTGAATTAAATTCCTACCAGAAAAGTCTTTTTAGCTTTCTATTTTTAACTACAAGTATTTCTGGTGGGTTATTACTCCTACCTCTACTATATTTTGTCTTTTTTCCTTCAAAGTTTGCAAATAGGCAATATCAACTGGACAACAAACACTTGATAACAAATACCTGAAGACATAAGCAGATTTTAACTTTCTGTTTATGCATATTTTGCTTATCAACAAGTCCATAAGCAAATACTGAAACAACTGAGTTGCCTTCAAAGAAATGGAAACCTGAAATGATGGCCTTCAGGAAATGAAATGTTTTATTATAATATAAAATTATATTTTAAGGAAAGATTATTCACCAATAATAATTTTTACAATTGCAAATGGTTTTTATTTTTAATTCTTTGCGTTAGTTTCCTTCCAATTGTAAAGAAGCATATTTCCAATTTTAACTTGTCCTAATCAGAAAGAAGTACAACAAATATTAAATAGAATTCACACAATATTGAAATCATTGGCCATCAACTTACTCTTGAATCCAAGATATTTAACTAAAGGGGATGCAGTGGCAGTAAGTTAGCATGTGTGGGTAGTTTTGGGGTGCAAATCCTCTTTTTTGTCTTCTTCATCTGAGTGCTGTTCATACAGCTTTTTCAGTTTGTGAAAATTCATTATGTTGTATGTTTATGATATGTACACTTTTATGTTTACATGCTACACTTCAATAAAAAATTAAAAAGTTGTGGTTCTGCTCATGTTGATGGTAGTTAACTTGTCCTAATCAGAATGAAGCACATTCATTCTGAATGAAGTTAAGGGCTGAATATTGTTAGTTTGCAAAATTAGGTTCAGAGGTAATAGCCGTGATTCTGTGGTAAATGGGATAAACAAGTATTTTGAGCTCCAACCTTTAACATGGATACCTATTATTTCATTATCTCTTTCTCAGTTAACTGTTAGTCATCTATTTTTCACTTTACAAAAATTGACTACACATTAAGTATCAGTGCCTTCTAAGGGCCAGGGATTGAATGTATGAAGAGGAAACTAGTATCTGTCCATGTCAGAGAACTGCTAACTAATTACTAAACCCATTCTTCTTTTTTTCTGGTCATGCAATTAAACTTTATTTCCCAATTTTCCCATTGTTAGGGGTGGCATGTGACTGAATCCACAGCCTATGCAACAGAAGGCTTGCTCCATGAAAATCTACCACACAGTATTTCTTCCATGCTTTTCCCTACTCTGAACTGATTGAAGTGATTATGACAACCTTGAAAGCTAAGTTCTTCGGCAAGTGGAATCACAAGATGGAAGAAGCCTTAATCATTATCTTGCTAAACATCTTGAGGGCCACGTGCTAATTAAGAACTGATGTTAGATTTCATGTGATGAAAATAAGCTTATTTCATGTTTGAGCCATTATGCTTTTACTTGGTTTTCTATGCCAACTGACATGGTGAGTTTAAGGAGGTGATTAGCTTTTAAAGAGATATCAAGTAGGTTATAATTTCGTAAGTACAATAATAGGATAATAAATGTTACATGAAAGCAGGAGGAGGGAGCAGTTAATTCTGCCCAGAAAGGATTCTTGAAGTAAGTAATATATAAACTGGACTCTGAAGAACAAGTACGTGAGAATTTACTAGGAGACAGTTATGGGGAAAGAGCAACAAGAGAAAAAAGAAAGTTATAAACAAAGGCATGAATTAATATAAATAATATAGCTATAAATATTTACATATAGCTAACTGTGTTTGTGAAGGGAACAGTGGGAATTCAGATTAGAAATGTGGTTTGGGGCCAGACTAGTACACTAAGAAGAATAAACATTATCTTGTAGGCAGTGAGAGTCATCAAAACTTTTAAGTGACTGTAAGGGGAAAGACTGGAGAAAGGAAAATTAAGTAAGAATGATCTGTAAGGGACATGAAGAAGAGAGAGCACTGACAAATTTTTCTGAGACAAAGATTAACTTGAATAGATGTGGGGTGAGTAGAAGAGGGGGGATCATAAAGAGCAGTTAAATGGTTAAAGGTAATCCTGAAACATCTAAAGTCCTAAGTACAGAGGAAAGGAGATATTCTGAGATCAGAAAGCAACTATAGATTGTAGGAAGAGGAGAACCATAATTAGTTGTTTTAAAATTACTGAGTGTGAACCACTTTTCTGAATACCTTAAACAGATCATGAGGGATTATGGGTCTGGCTTATCATCTATTCACTATAGGAACAGAACATCTTTGGAAGTGAGAACATGGGAAAGCCCTGAATTGAAGTGTAAGTAGATCTCTAAACTACCATAGGAAGAAATGCTAATTTTTTGAATCTTATGTAAACAAAACTGTAGGAATCAAACAAACAATTATAAAGGGCATTTTCTGGTTTCACAAGCAAGCCATTTTCCCTCCCCAGAATACTCAATGATACCAGTTTTCTTTTGTTCTTCCTGAGGCATTCCTCCCACATACAAGTGAATATACCTAAATCTGTCTTCCCCCTTCTCTGCATATATACATTTTAACCTCTCCCTTCCCCAGCAAGGGACACCTACTTACTTTAGAGTGGCTCCCTTGGTTTTAATCACATCTCCATTTTTTAGATAAACATATTGTTGTGCTCCATTTCCTATAATTTCTTCTTTATAGGGATTCCGTGGGAGTTTTTTAATGCAATAGGCAGTGTCTAGTTAAAAAACATGTAAATATATTACATTAGATTTAGATGATTCAGCTTTTAAGAGATCAGTTTTTATATAGCTAATGCTTATGAACGCACAAAATACTACAGGACAACAGAAAAATGGGATGAATTATAGCAGCTTATCACTTTTGTTTGTTTGTTTTGAGACAGGGTCTAGTTTCATAGTTCAGGCTGGCTTGAATTCACTATGTATTCCAGGCTGGCCTTGAACTCATGGCAATCCTCTTGCCTCAGCCTCCTGAGTACTGGGATTACAGGTATGCACTACCATGCCTAGCTTATCTCTGGTATATAAATACAGTATTCATATATCTCAGTAGAGAAGCTTTTATTTTCCTATGCCCCTTTGTGACTTTATAGTCATTTCTTTTTTTTTTAATTTTTAAAATTTACCTTGCTTTTATTCACCCAAACATGGGCCCAAGCAATGAAAGTAACACAAATTCATCAGGTTTCCAAAATCCATTAGTACATTCTCTGGTAAACAATTTAACTTCAGCTGTCTTAACTTAATAAGTTATTTCTATTTTAGATAAAAGTCTGCAAGTAGTTCATAGTGCAGCTATGATAATAGGACAGGCACTGAAGAGGCAGTTATATGGAACTGGAGAACTTTTCTCTATCCAGGTGGCTACATATGATAGAGTAATCATGGCAGTAGCTAATAAGAAGATGCTAGATATGGTTTTTGCTCTGAGTGCTGAAAGGGAATCCCAAATCTGAGATTAAGATATTTAATCTTTTTTTTTTCTTTTTTCTTTTTGGTTTTTTGAGACAGGCTCTCATTATGTAGTTGAGACTGACCTGGAACTCAATATGTAGCCCAGGCTGGTCTCGAATTCAACAGTGATCCTCCTGCCTCAGCATCCTGAGTGCTGGGTTTTCAAGCATGCACCACCATGCCCGGCTTAAGATATTTAACCTCTAACGTAAGTTTAAAACATACTCCTATTTTTTTTTTTTTTTCTTGCGGGTTTTTTGAGACAGGCTCTCATTATGTAGTTGAGACTGACCTGGAACTCAATATGTAGCCCAGGCTGGTCTCGAATTCAACAGTGATCCTCCTGCCTCAGCATCCTGAGTGCTGGGTTTTCAAGCATGCACCACCATGCCCGGCTTAAGATATTTAACCTCTAACGTAAGTTTAAAACATACTCCTCACTGACTCAAACAAAATCAATTAACAGATGTGTCCAATTACTAACCAGTATACTATGTATAGTGAATATATATACCATGGTTTCAAAGCACTTAAAATGTGTCATGGTTGGGAAAATGAAACTTACCAAGGGAACCAAAGACCTATACTCAGTATTACTGAGCTATATCTCCAGTCCCATATAATTAACAGGAACAAATCCTCAGTCATTTTTTAATGTTTGAATAATGCTTCATAACATCACTGGAAATATTAATTTAAATTGATATGAATGTGGTATTGTTTATGTATATACAATATATAATTAAAAATACATTCTAATTGAATAGCATACATGCAAACATTTGACTTCTAGAACTCAGATATGTAATAGACACCCACTGTAGTTGCAAAATAATAAAACCATTAAGTAATAAAATATATTTTCCAAGATTTACTCAAAACCAAACCACACCAAATCACCTAAGCAGCGTTAGATTACAAAGTTCTCGTGTCTAGTAAGATATTACAAGTTCCCCAAATTATATTCTGATTGTTTTTTGAAAATTTTGTAAGCAGGTTGCTTTTAAGTTACTGTATCCTCTCACAGAAATCTTATTTAATGGCATTTATATTTTTAGTATGATCTGTAAGAATACAAGTGGTCAACATGGTAAAGGGTCTGAAACATTTCTGCCCTATCAAGAATTAAACAAAATTGAGTCAGGTGTGGGTGTGGCATGAAATATTATTTCTCATGAAATCTTAAAATTTTACTGGCTATAAAAAGTACTGTCAAAAATTTGCCTCTATTTTCTTTAAATCAAATGAATAGGTAATCTATTATACAAATATTTACTGTTCAGTATGGAGCCTAGAATTATTTTAATTTTTAAATTGAAGGAAATGTGTCAAATATGCATTAATGAGTGCCTGGATAAACAAATAATGGTGTATTTACACAACAGACTATGTCTTGGCAATAGAAAGGAACAAAACTACTGATACACAAACATGGGTGAACTAAAACACATGATGCTACATGAAAGAACCAGACAGTGATTATTCCATTATGTGAAATTCTAGGAATGGTAAAACAGATACACAATGGAAGAAAACAGATTAATGGTTGCTGGTAACTGGGAGCAGAATCTCTGCAAAGAGACTTGAAACTCTATGGGGTGGAGGAAGTGTTCTATATCTCGACTAGAGTGGTCACACAGATATTTATATTTGTTAAAACTCACTAAAGTGTATACTTAAAATGGGCATATGCTATATATGTAAATTAAAGCTCAATATAGTTGATTTATGAAAGGGAAAAAGTGGGGCATAAACATTTCAATCTTTCAAATTGACATTCATACTAAAACAGAGTTGACCAAAGTGACAAAACTAATTTAGAATTCTCAAGATAATTTTTAAGTCCACAAAATATAATGGGCAAATTGACTACAGAAGCCAAAATTGAGGAAAAGTTAGAATGAAAATTTAGGAGTTCCTTTGGCAAAGAGTCCCCTTAGGCTGGAAGAAGAGGTTAAGAAAGTTAGGTTAAAAGGTTTTGGTTTTTAATAACTGGAAGCCTGGGGATGCAGGGTACAACAGCTTAGCTAAGACTACCCTAATGTCCTAATTGCAGTCTAAAAAATACCTTATAAATATTTAAAAATATTAGTTGAATGCACATGCTTATCCTTCTTTAATGTCCTTGACCCCTTGCTATACTTAATATTAAGCACACTGTCATTTTAACATCTTTCTTTCTGTTTTCTCTTAAATGGACATGTCTTTTTCTCAGGAGCTCAGTGTTTCTCTCCACATACCCCTACATAAAACAGCCACTGCCTTAACTTTACTCTTTCTTTTTGTACAGCTTTTCCTTCATAACACCTACCACTATCTAATCTATTATTTATTTAGCATTTACCTTCCCAGTTAGAGTATCCCTTATCTAAAATGTTTGGGACAAATCTTTCAGACTTTTAAAAATAAAAGTATTTGCAAATATATAATGAAATATCTGGAGATGGGAACAAAGTCTAATGCAAACTTTGTGTTTCACATATTCCTTCTACACAAAGCCCACAGGTAATTTTGTACAATATTTTTAGTACGTTTATATTTGAACAAGTAGTGTGCAAAAATGTTTTTTAAGGCACTTTGGATTGTCAAATTAGGGATGTTCAACTTGTAGAATGAATGCTTCATGAGAACAGCAACTGTTTTGTTTGCTGCTCTATCCCTTATGCCAAGAACAGACTAACATATAGCAGTCACTTGAATATTTATTTAATGAATAATGAATGGATGAATGAAGGTATATAATGTGGGATAAAAGAATGTGAGAATGAGAGTCGGTAAAATGTCAGGGTTGAATAGGTGTTGGAGAATTATCAATACAGAGATACTTTGTCTGAACTGCAATATATCTTGGTAACTGCCTTAAAGCTACGAAGGTCTATTTATATGTGGACAATAACGGTATTTACCTCACAGTATTAAAGTATATAAAGGGTTCGGCACAGTGCTGGCATAGTAAATGCTTAACAGTTGTTAAATGAAATTGAACTTTTTCATTGGGTATTATGACTTGTATCTGGATGTCCCCCCCAAAGCCTCAGTGCTTATAAGTGGGGCTTTAGGGAAGTGACTGGATCTTGGGCATGTGATACAGGATCATGGGTGTGTGATAATGGATTAGTCATTCATTAGTTTAGCATAGTTGGGGGTGTGGATGATGGATTTACTGAAGAGGGAAGACCCATCCTGGGTTTGGATGGCACCAACCAACAGACTTGTAACCTGGATGGAATAAAAAAAGAAAGGCTCCAAGTCAGCTGCTCCAAGCTTCCTGCCTGCCACGCCATGGACTGTTTCTCCTCTGCCATGGTGTCCTAGCTTGGAGCCAGCTGGCTATGGACTGAAACTTCTCAGAGGTTATGAAGCAGAAAACACAACTTTTTCTTTTCATTGTTAAAATTAGGGACAATATACATCAATTTCTAAAACTACTGTAGCTTAAACAATAAATTATTCCCAGACATCATTTTCCTCAATGAACTTAATGAATATTTTCTGTTTACCATTACTGATGCTTTTACAAATATCTCCTATGCCTCCAGAATGATCAGGATGCCAATGAGTCACTAGGATTTCCTGGATTGTTGTGTTAAATTCAACCAGAGCTTGCTTTAAATAGCTGATATATTCTGGAATTGATGGTTCTCCAGTGTCAATGAGGATTCTCCTGAAAATTAAATGGAAGATAATTACACAGTTGGAACATAGAGTTAATATGAGCATATTTTTCACACATACTATACCAAATTTAAGAAACTTTATAAATTATTTTACTTTCAACATGCTAGGAAACCAGCTATATGTTACTTTATTTTAATTGTAGTAATTTTACTGTAAGAAAGTTCTTTGAAACAAATTATAAATATAGGGCCAGGGATTTAGCTCAGTGGTGCTGCCCCTACCTCGCAAGCACAAAGTCCTGAGTTGGATCCCAGGTACAAAAAAATTTATAAATATAAATCTGAACAAGTAATAATAGCAGTAATCTTGAACACTTACACAGCAACTAAAATAAGCATGGCACTGTTCCAAATGACAAATATTTAAGGGATATATTTCATTATTATATTCAGAAGTTAAATAACTCACCCAACTATATATCCCAAATATTATTAAGTTCAGAAATTACTCTGCAAATGATAAAATCAGCATTCAAACCCAGATATTCTGATGCCAGAATATATGCTCTTAACTATTCAGCCTTTCAGATCTTTTACACATTACTCAAATGTTTCACAGATATGAAAGAATCTGACTCAACAGCATCCCCAAAGAGAACTGGCCTTTTGCAATAGATAACAATGAAGTTTTATATTTGTGTCCCTACGCATAAAAAGGAGTGCAGAAAGCATAGAGAAAAGGTCAGCTATTTTCTTTACTTAGACAATCCTGTTCTATTTTTTGCTTGTGGTTGTGATCCTTACACTTTGTTTGCTTTCCTCACTTAGGAAATCAGGGGACACTTCCCTTAAGAACCAACTCATGAACTTCTTACTTCATGCTGTTTCATAGTAACACCTGATTAATTTAAACTGAGAGAAGGCAGTCTTGATGAACAGCCTGAATCATTAATTCATTCATTAAGAATGGTTTATAAATTACCTATTATTTACATGCCTTCATTTTACGCAGAAAGCAAGATAAACAACTTGGCTTATTTTCTAGTGGATGGTGGGAAGGGGAAGCTATGTATGATCAAAAACAATAAAACCATAAAAAGCATTTTACAGAGCATTAAAATAGGGTAGGTAGATAGACATTTGATGACTATCCCCCTTTTTGTATTGGGGACTGACTTGGTTGTCCCTGCAGGGCAAGCACTGCCAGTCAGCTACATCCCTGCCCTCGGATGGCTATCTTACATTGGGTGGATTTGTTTCCCCGATACCACAGCTAATAAAAACAAACTGGTTTTATATTAATTTATAATTAGAAGCTTTGGTATGCTATTATACAGTAATGTAACTATAGATAATAATGTACTGTACATTTCAAACAGCTAGTAGAATTTAAGTTTTTACCATAAATTAAAAAATGTATGAGATAAATGTTTAATCTATCATTATACAATATATACATGTATCAAAGCATTACATGATATCCCATTAATATGTACAATTTTTGTTTCTATTAATGAGCTAAAAAAAGATTAAAAAAACTAAATCTGGCATCTCACTGGAGAGCAGGGTAGTGGCCTCATGGCCAGCTAGATTCTATTTATATCCTAAATTCTGTGGAATAATGGAACAGTGTAGAAGTACAGTGTGGAAAGGTCTGTTCTTCAGATGAATGGCCAGAGGTTATACCTATCCAAGGGAGCACTGTAAGGTCCTGATTGAAGTGAAAATGTAAGGAAGAGATTGTTCACACAGAACATTTAGAACACATATCAACAGAACTTTTTTTTAAACAGCTGGATGAGGAAGGGAAGGGACGGGAAGGAATTGATCATTCTGAGGTTTCTAGATGATTGGTGTGCCATTAACAAAGACTATAAAAACTGCAGGAAACAAATCTGAGATGAACTTGATTTGTGTTTAACAGTGAACTTCGATGGAATTCCTAACCATCTCCCCTTGCTGCTTCTCCAAAACAATTAGCAGGTAACATTAATTTACATATTTATTCACTTTGTCTACCTCCGTATCTTCCATCACTCTAGAAATGTGAGTCATCCCATGAGGGTCAGAATACTGTGTTTGATTTAACGAAGCTATGTTTTATTTTCATATCTATAATACATTCTGCAATGCTTGGCCCTGTGTAGACTTAGTTATACTAAATTCAAAATATGCAAAACTTATAACACCATAGTATTTCCACATACGATCCTATATCCTAATCTGATTTTGGCTACTTTTATGTATTTGAGTTATTTGGTGTTTACTTATTTCAAATTCTTTATGCTTCCTAATTAGAGTCACTTGAACTACTGCGGGGAGGTCTTCTGGCCTTTGAGAAGAATCATTCCATGTTTTAGATCAAGATGTCTTAATTATTTTCAAGGCCCCTTACTATTTTTAAATTGGTATCTTCCCTTCTAAGAAACTGTTTTGAAACATCTGGCAATTTAAGACTAAATTTAAATCTTAGTATTTTAAATAAAGACCAGGTCATATCACACTGGTCAATATGACAAAATAGGGATAACACACAGATAAGCTAAAATCTAGCAGCAAGGGAAACATCTTTTGGACTGAGTGTGCCGTTTGTAGGTCAAAGTCTGACTTATGACAGGTGTTACCGTTTATACATAAAATGATCCCCCAAAAGTTTCACATGTTCAGAGGTAGGGCTTTTGGAGGGTGACTGGCTTATGGGGGCACTAAATGGATCAATGGATTAACCCACTGATAAGTTTATAGCTGAATGTACTGTTAAATAGGGCCTGGTTGGAGGGGGTATGTCACTGGGGCATGGCTAGAAGTGTGTACTGTATTTTTGACCCCAGCTCCTTTTCTGTTTCCTATCATGGACTGAGTGGCTTTTCTCTGCTGCTCTTCTACCATGTAATTTCTGACCTGTAGCCAGCTAACCATGGCCTGAATCCTCTTAAACTGTGAGCCAAATAAATCTCTCATCTTTTAAGTTGCAGGCAATAGGTATTTTGTACCAGAGATGGCAGAGTGACTAACACAACAAGCCTCTGACACTAGATAACATGGTTCCTGAGCCTCTTTCCTTTAGGTCTCCTAGTAGTCCTGTTTTGGTCTAATAAAACTGGTATTTGCAAAGGAAGGACGTTAATACTGAGGATAACAGGACTTTCGCAAATCCTTGAATAAACACTATCTATTCAGAATGGAAAAGTAGTATCTGGATGCTACAATACCTACAAATGAGTCTGTAGTATAAGCATTAAGAGAAAATGGTCACATAGGTTAACATCTTGATACAGCAATTAAAACCATTTAGAGCTTCTATATTGTATTTTGTCTTTAGAAACTCTAGGGTGGTACTATTTTTTATTTTACAGAAAAAGAAATCAGTCTTCAAAAAGAAAAGTGACTTTCCTCTAGGCCTTAAGAGCCAACAAGAGGCAGTGCTGGCAAGCACTAATGTTCAGGTAGAAGGTCCACTTCATTTAAGAGACTAATTTTCTCTCTGGAAGAGGAATGCTTAGGCAAGCCCCTGGAATTTCTCATGTGGCATAAATAAAATTTCAGTTCTGGACTAAACAAGTTCTGTCACTAGTTATCACAGATGATTTGATAGTATTATCTTTATTTGGGCTGTTTTGTTCTTCATGGTCCCAGTATCTCCAACTCAAGAGGTAATTTTGCAAATTGAAGTTAGTTAACTGGTACATAGAAGGAAACACAGTAACTATGTGCTGCATGAAAAAATTCAATTGATGGGAAGTTAGTGGAATCAACTACTTATGGCTATTTTTATACCAATATTGAGGCAGTTTTCACCTGCTCTATCAATTTTCTATCATACTAACAAAATTATTTTTTGAGCATCCACCCAGTGTTGTCTAGATCATATAAGTAGAAGCAACAAATAGCTACATTGTATGCTTTTCACATGCGGACATTTATTGTTTTCAATGTATGTGTTCATTTGCTACATAACCCTCATTTTATAGGTAAGGAATGTGAGGCTTAGAAAGATAACTATATGAAAGTAATATAGCTAATGAATGGAGCCAGGATTCTAATCTAGGCTCCAGAGCTGTAACTCTACAGGACTGGGATTTCCTATTATAAAAGACAATACTTGACCTCAAAGTATGCGTATTTTTGACAGGAAACGTTAAAGCATGCAACTATCAACAAGTTTTCTTTTCTTTCTTTCTTTCTTTCTTTCTTTCTTTTTTTTTTTTTTTTTTTTTTGATTTTTTTTTTTCTTTTTTTTTTTTTTTTTTTTTTTTTTTTTTTTTTGTAGTGGGCACTGAACCCTTTGCACTGAGCTACTTTTTAAAATTTTGAGATAGAATCTTGCTAAGTTATCCAGGCTGAGCTCAAATTTGTAATTCTCCTGCCTTAACCCCCCCAGAGTTCTGGGATTACAGGTGTGCATCACCTAGCCTATCAGATTCCTGAGTACTGAAGGAATATGGAAATATTCTGGCAACTTGGACTATTGTGTTGATTCAAATGCTTACTGCACATCTGTATAACAATATCACACAGTAAAAACTAAGAAAGAAGGTAAAGAATACTTATTCATTCAGCAAATATTTATTATACTGAGGGGACAGCAATTAATACATCTTCAAAGTTACGCTCTAATGGGGCAAGGAGGAAGGGAAAAAAAATTAAACATCTTACAAAGAATGGAGCAAATTACTCCATGAGAAGAATGGAGTGCTAAGACATTGCATGGCACTGACACAGTTTGGGGGGTAGGGAAGGCATCCAAGAGGTCATAGTATTTCAAATGAGCCTTAAAGGGTAAGAGAAAGATATACACATGTATGATGAAGTCCCCAGGCAGAAAAGATGCAACTCACTTGAACTACATAGAGGAACCAGTATGCCTGGGATGAGGGAACAGACTTGAGATGAGCTGGATGAGGCAGGTGGGAACCAGAATATGCAAGGCTTTTCTGTTTTGATTTTTAAAACAACTACTCCAGCTACACGTTGGTTGTTGAATTGAAAAGGGACAAAAGTCAATACAGGAGGATTTTAGAGAAGCCTATACAAGAGTTGAACTGGCTCTTGGACTGGCTGATAGCAGTGGACATGAAGAGATCTTCAAATGGATTGGATGTGTGACAGGAAGCAAGGAAACGTCAGGGAGTGTACTTAAGCATCACCTTTCATTAAATATGGGGATAGTTTTGTTTTCCAACACAGTAATGACAGAAGGGCTTGGTTTAGTGGGAAAGACCACGAGTTCAGTCCGGGAAATACTGTTTCAAGAGGCTGAGTCATGAGAGCAGAGATTAAGAAACAGCTATTCGAGTCGGAAGATCACACTGGCCATTCCACTTCATGAGTTTATGTAATAATATTAAGTAGCATCAGATAAGGAGCCATGAATTTGTTTCGACAGTTAGTTTCGGATCTTTTAAGTCTCTTTAGCACAAGCACTTTGCTATGCTGAATGTGATTCTAGTGCTTAAAGATAGAGTATGTTATTTTTCATACAACATGGCCTCTAAAAGCAAGCCAATTTCAACAGGTTTTCAACAGAATCAACCATCTGTTTTAAGCTGGAAGAAAAGCAGGTTGTGTTGAACTTACACTGATCTTCAACATGGTGCTCTCCTACATTTTCTAGGGTAATACTGACTACATGTAATTTTCCTCTTAGGTACTGATTTTAGATCTAGTTTAAAATGACCCACTGAAGACAGAATGCCTGTGGGCTTACTGGGTTGAGGGAGGACCAGATAAGACAACTATACCCTAGAGATATGGTTTTCTGCTTCGTTTTCTATCCCCCAGGACTCTTGAAGCAGCCTAAGGGTCTTGTAGCTACTTGAACTTGCCCTGTTTACTTTGGACTTAATTTTTTTTGAACCGGAAATCGAATTCAGAACCTTGTGCTTGTGAACCAGGCAGCGGAACCAGTGAACTAATCTCCCGGCCCTAGGACCTTGTTAGGCAGGTGCGGCGCCAATGAGCTTCATCTCAGGCCTTGAACTTAATTCTTTCGTCAACATGAGTTGCAATATTTCCAGTCCCTCCTATTCTCCTGCTTTAGAAATTCGTATTTACTGAAAAAGGGTAAATCCAATAGATACTTCAAACGAAAACGCAATGAACTACACTTGTCACATACAATTGTAACAAAAACCAAAATCAGTTATGGTCAGCTCTTCCAAAGCCAGGTGTGGTATATTGAGTTTGACCACGTCAAGTTACTTGGAAGCAAGATAATCCTGCCCTCTGCTGCTGAGTTATGGAAATGTCGCCAGCACAAACGTTTTTTGTGAGGGGAAGTTATACTCCATGTAAAACACCAGGCAAAGTCAGGACAGCAAAGTACTGACTTTTTTTCTTGGACTTCTGACTTCAGGAGATCATAATTAAACACGATTGCCCTGGCATTCAAATACCAAGCAAAGTAAATCGGGTTTCAAAGGCAGGGTTTTTCTTTTCTTTCTGTTTTTTAAACTGACGTCACCCTCGGTTAGAAAGGTTACCACCTGGCTTTTTGCCCGAGAACTAGGTCCCGGGTAGGTCCCGGCATTCCCCGCAGCCTATACTTCGCTTCTCCGCCCTGGCCGAGCAGTGTCGGAGCCCAGCTGCGCGGTTCCAGAAAGCACAGCCCGGAGTGTACACTGCGGGTAGGGACAGGACGTTTACCTGGAGCCGGTCCCCACCAAATAGGTGTTGGTGCCTTGCAGGGTCATGGGACCAGGATTACAGCCTAAAACGCGTACCACCCGACAGGACAGCCTTTCAATGTACGGCAGCGCAACAGCCATCTCCGCCTCAGCTTTCCACCAGCACTCTCCGGACCAGGCTTCCCTAGCCAGTAGCCAAACAGTAGGCCGGATGGGAGGGGATGGAGTCACGTGACACGCCGCGCGGCCGCTGGACTGGTCGGAGCCCCTCACCAGCCCGAGGACGCCGCTGCGTCGGGGCGGGACCTGGTAGCCTGGCCAGGGGCGGGGCCAGAAACCACCTGACCCTGCGTGGGTTGCGTAAGCGGCGCTCGTGACCTGCAGCTGCTTGACGAGGCCTGAGGCGAGGCTGGAAACTTTTTGTGGCGCTTGCGGAGGCCTGTTGCCTCTGAGGAATTTATGCTTTGTCAAGCAAGTGCGTGCAGGTGGATGAGAGGCACTTTAATCAGGGAAGGTGACAGATCAAGGGGCAGGCAGATTTAGGGTTGAGTACTGAATCCTGGAAAGTACCGCCGCTCAGGTTTTTAAGGCGGTGGTGGACTGTCTTAAGGGTGGCCTTTTTCTCTAAGTAGTGGTAAACTAGTGCTTAATATGGCTTTTAGTTCCATGTTAAGTGCTTTTTACATACGTATATATATCTCAATCCTCAAAACAACCCTAAGGTAGGCGCTATTCTGTCTTCATTTTATAAGTGAAAAACGAAGTTTGGGAGACGTTGAAGTGACAGCTCAGAACCGAGTTCTGTGCCCGGAGCTTCCTGTTTCTCTCGCAGCGGCACTCTCCCTCATGTGCAAATTAATTTTGAGATAGGGTGGTGGTGGTGGGAGATGCTCAGGAATCTCGGAAGGAGCCCTATTTATGGTCCAGGGGAGTACTACTACATTCTCTTCTGTAATTTTACCTCCTCAGGGAAATAGGTTGGTCTGTGGAGTTTTGTAAACCAGAAGTTTCTCATTTTCTAGCAATTCCTTTTCTAATTGGTCGAGTTGGAAAATACTCCAGTTTAAAAATTTCAATTTTAAGTTATGTAAAAAATGCACGTTCCTCTGAGCAATTCCTTCATGATAATTGTATGAATGACTCCCAAAGACGTAGAACATAGCCACTGTCCCACTGTACTTTGTAAAATTTTTAATAGTACATATTTATAGTATGTAATATCTCTCTTGGGGAGTTGGTACATATGCATAATACATTTCTTTTTTTTTTCATTTCCATTGTCTTCCCTTCCTCCCCCCTCTGCTCATCTCTTGATCCTCTTCCCTCTCTTTTTGGTACATGTTTTCAGTACATAAAGTTAATACTTATATGTGGAGTTACTTTAAAAAAATGTTGAACGTGTAGTTCTAAAATTTAGTATGGGGGATGGGGATTTAGCCAAGTGGCGCCATGTCTGCCTGGCAGGGTCCTGAGTTCAATTCCTGGTACCCCCCCCAAAATATACAAAATTTAGGATAATTATTTTTAGCATTTTTAAAGAAGAGACTACTTGCTGCTACAGACATTTAGTTCCCAATTCAGCAGTTTAATATTTCAGAAAACGTGTAAGAAATTTGTGTCTCAAAAATGCACATTTTGTGGAAAACTTTCAAAAATAGTTACTGAAGTAATCATAAATCATCCTTAGGATAAATAATATGCCCTTTAAAGATGTTTGGAGTAACCATCAAAATCTATCAGACATTTTCATCTTACCAGTATTTATTTATAGCCATCAATTAGTGGCTCTTAGGGCAGGATGTTACTTTTATTTTACCTTTTTAAGATCTCTGCTGGAAGGTTGGTGAACCCTGGAGAAGAGGATGAAGTGGTAATTTCTTGATCATAGTCTTCGTGAGACTCTGGGCAACTTATTTCCCCACCGGTTAATCATTATCCCTTGTAGTTTTCATCATGATTTCATTTAATTCATTGACAAGCTCTGCATTTGACACATGACAAAATTAACCCAATAAATGATGCGAGTTCAATGATTTGCCTAGGGGCATATAAAAGAAATGGTAGAATATAAAGGATAGTGAACATGGATTAAAAAACGAGGTGGTTGTGGGATACTGTATATAGGTTGAGCTCAGAAGAGAGATCTAGAATGTGCATTGAAACTGAATCTTTGGGGATAAATTTAGCAATATGACTTTTGTTTAAGTTCATTGCCAAGAAATAAGAGTAAAGATTTTTACTTTCTGTCTAATTACATTATAAGTGTTTAGTCCATCTCTAAGAGTTGCCAAAGTCCTGCCGGTTTCACATTGCTGAATAGCCTGAGTTCAGAGTCACCTCTGAGATTTAAGGCCAACTATTAGGTGTGAGCCTGTGTAAAAGTGAAAAGAAAGTTAAACACTTCCAACAACAATGGCACAAGATAAATATTACCATTCCAATAGGTATAAATGGGATAGAAAAAAATGAGACCAAAGCAAGGCCTAAATCCAGCAGGGAAAACATTAAAATCCATAGTTTCATGCATGGCACTCAGAGCAATCTGGCAAGATGTGAACTCCAAAGGGCTTGGACAGCCCTGCCCCTCTAGCATTGCTGGTGGTTTTAGTCCTCTTGGGTTCTCTCTTGGACCATCTTTGCTCACTTCTTGTAGTGATATCCTAAGTTCCTGGCTTCTCCAACATTCTGAGATCTCTACTGTACTCCCTTCGCACAGCTTCACACACTGCCTGGCCTCCAAGGCCTTCTGAAATCTGGGTGGAAGCCTCCCTGCCCCTACATGTCTTGCATTCTGTATGTGTATAAATCCAGCACCATGTTGATAATGCCAAGGTCTGCCACCAACTAGAGCAATAGCCAAGCTTCCTTCTTCCTCCTCCGCCTTTCTTATTCTTCTTCCTCCTCCTCTTCCTCCTGCTCTCCCTCTTCCCCTCCCCCTCCTTGTTCTTCTTCCTTCTCCTTCCTTCTTCCTCCTTTTTCTTCTCCTCCTTCCCCTCCCCCTCCCTCCTTCCTCCTCCTCCTCCTTTTTCCTTCCTTCCTCCTTCCTCCATTTTTCTTTCTTCAGGATTGAACTGTGGACCTTGCATTTGTGAGGCAGGCAGTAGCACCACTGAGCTTAACCCCTGGCTATGGCTATAGGAACACTGGACTAAATCCTAGGGACTAGGCAGCCCCATTCAGGACCTTGGCATCCTAGGGTTTTCTTTTCAAAGCAAAGTCATTCACCTTTGCAATTTTGAACCTTGCTGATTTCTCACATTCCCTCAAGGCATTTTTCCTTTTGTCCAATTCCAAAATACTTGGCTTCCTGTTAATGCTAATCCTTTTAGCAACTAAGTTCTCTTCTGCTCCATTTTTGCAGGCCCCAACTTTACCAGAGTTGCCTTTCTGACCAAACTCAAAACTTTTAAATCATTCTGCTGGGATATTTGCTCTTGATTTGCAAAGTTGAGCTGGCTAAAAGCCCCCAACAGCAGCCATACCACTGTCTCAACATTAGACTGCCTTGAAATTTCTTCTACCAGATTAATTAGTCTGCTTCCCTTAATTTTAGTTTATGGCAATGTCTCAAGACAGGAGAAAAATGTAGACATTTTCTGGCAGAGCATAACACATGTTCTGGAGTCCAACTGCCAATGGAATCTTTGTTCCCACCTGAAACCGCCTGAGCCTAGTCTTTACTGGATGGATTTTTATCAGCATTCTGGCCTGAGCTCTGACTAGAATCTCATTAAACTCAGCTCACAGCATTCTAGGACTGCTTCTCCAGCTGGCATCTCCAAACCAGACTCATCCTGCAAGTAAGTTCCAAAGGCTTTTCAACCACATGGCCAGGTAGCATCACAACAACAACTCCACTTCTGTGGTAGTAAAATCTGTTTTAGTTATTTTCTTATTGTTGGGCCACCTACAAATTAAAGGAGAAGCTCACAGTTTGTAGAGGTTTCAGTCCATAATTGGCAGGCTCCAAGGCAGGGTGACATGGAAATGGGTCATGGCAGAGGAGAAAGTGCTCATGACATGGCAGTGGTAGGCAGAGAGGGATCAAAGGATGAGGGAGGGAGACAACCTTCCTAGGTCACACTTCGAGAGACCTACCTCTGCAGACCAGGCTTTACCTTGAAGCATCACATTTAGCTATAAACTCTTCAGTAGCTGAATCCACTCATGAATGTCACATTCTCATGTTTGAATCAATACCCCAAAGTTTCACCTATAAGTGCATGAGTCTTTGGGGGACATGGGCTAAGTTAATGATACTTGTAAATTCTTTATCAGTGTATTTTAAATTAAGAATTCTGTGAATCCTTGGCAAACATGGCTTGTTCATTTGTATATGCTGTGAGGGAAATAATTTTCTTAAGACTTAATTGGCAAATACAGTGAAAGCTTGGGATCTAATCAGCCAATAAAAGGAATCATGCTGTTTCTTTCCCTCAGTGAGGTAATTACAAAGAGGTATACTGTATCTACAGTGACACAGACATCACTAGATTAGAAATTGCCACGTGACAAACAGATGATTTCAGTTTCCTTTTAGTTCAAGCTTAAAGGATTATATGTCCTATAATTATGCTTATTTTCAGTGAAGAAGAAAGAAAAGATTCACAAGATGAAGATTTTCTAGAAGGGGTTTTGAATTAAAGAAAACTTCTATATTGACAAGTAAGTCTGTACTTTATATTAGTTAAATTTGGTTGATAATTTTATTTCTTCAAATATTATTTTATCAAAGAGAGATCATGTACAAGGGTGAAGGTTATGTATTTTGGGTGGCAGCCAGATAGCCACATAGCTAGGTTGACTTTAGAATATAATTGAATTAAAATTGTCCTATTAAGTCAGTAAATGTAACAAGTCTCCTCGAAACCAAATTTTGTTGTTTGTTTTACTTTTCCTAAGGTGGTATTGGAATAATGATCAGATGTACAGGTAGAGATAAATTGTCTTTTACACAAGTTATAAAACTGTGGCTTTTGTGGGCTGTCTTTATGAGAACTGCTGTATTGATTAGCTTGCCATGTAGATTTCCTTCCAGTTGAAGTTATCTTCTGCCTGACTAAATTAGTATGGACATTGTCATCTCAGATTAATCTGTTTAATGTTCTGTCAAGAATCCAGTTTGTTTCTTAGAAACAATTTTTCTCATCTTGTAAAACTTGACATAAAATTTCTGTGTTTTTACGTGTTCATGATAGATAAAGAAGTTCTCTTTGTGGGCAGAGAGATTAAGAAATGCCTCACAGATTGCTGAGCTATTCTCTGTAGTTTTAAGGAAATTATTTATATTTAAAATCAATTTATATGAAATTTTAGAATTGTTGCATTTTAGTTGTTTTACTATTCTGAATGTTTATAGAGTTTTGCTGAGAAAAGTCTAGAAAATGAATTAAAGAATTTTAATTAGAAAAGTGTAGCCTTGAATCCTTTGCAATTCTAACTATATTCCTTTCTCTTTTTATGTTAATACAGAGAACAATAATACACAATAGTTTCAGTCTATCTTAAACCTGTGGGTGCTATGCCCACGTGTCATATTCAAGCAGCTCTTACTATTTTCTGTTCTCTCTTCATAGACTGTGTAGTATATTGTTGTGGTTATGATCCAAGTATTGGAGGCAGACAGACTTTACTCACTAGAGATAATTCACCTAAATATCCAATATTGCTAACCTTAAATTTTCTGTCACCAAAACAGAACTAATAATACCCTTCTCACAGGAATTTGTGTGGATTTAGTGAAATAATATATTTGATGAAATAATATAAAACATTTCCCTCATAGTAAACACTTAGTAAGGGTAGGTACTATTACACTGTTTGTTTTTCTATTCTATATGGATTTTTCTTCTAGATAGTAAATCCTAAAATGTCACATGTTAAATAATGATGTTGCATCAGGATTTAGATACACATTAAACATACCCAATATAATTACGCTAAGAAATTTCTGTCAGTATTTTATGGAACTTCTGTTTCTGGAGGATATACTTGAGATCAAGTTTTTCTTTCCATGTGGAAAGCTTTCCATTTGATATTCACATGGCTAATTCTATTACTCAAATGCCTGCTTCTAGTGAGTCTGGCTCTGATCCACCTCATTAGAGTTACAGCTCATGATATGCCCACTTCTACTCCAACTCCTAATCTTCCTTACTATATATTTTTTTTTCCTGTACAGCACTTGTCATCTTCTGCTATATTTAATTTACCTATTATTTTTATTGTTAATTGACTTTTTGTGTTAGGATGTAAGTTTCACAAGGGCAGAGAATTTTTTTTTTTTTTTTTTTTTTTTTT